GTGGGTCACATGACAACTCGATACCCCCAGGGGCAGACCCACATGGTAGTTTTTGGGTGCTTGAGCACCCATTATTTTCATATCGAACTATATATATTTATGTAAAAATTAAAAAGAATTATATAAAATAAAAGGTGAACGCCCATGAAATAAATAGTTTAGTTGATGTGATGGGTATAATGGGTGTTCAAGGTTGCTTCTTGGTCTCGCATGCTACGGATCAATTCCCCTTTAGAGATATTATTTTTGGTTTAAAATCAAAATCTTCTCTTTCTACTTATTTTATTTATTTTTATGCCTATGCAGATTATTTATTTTCCTTTCACAAACTATCTTTTGCTTATTTTACTAAACAATTTGTCATCTTACTTTTTTTAATCCAAAAAGAATTTTACTCTAGTTTTTTATTAATTTGGTTAGTGCGATCTGATTTTAAGGTAATTATTTCTTTTTCCTTAAAAAGATGAAAATTATTGATTTTCAAACTGAAATTGATAGGTCATATTCCATGATTATTTTTGGAAGTAGAAAACACAATGATTTACTTTTTACATGGGCATATTTGGTAGAAAATGTTCCAGAAAATATTCTTTATTACAAAAGATGTTAGCATATCCTTAGGGAAAAAAATTGCATCATATTTAAATATTTAGATAGGTAAAAAAGTTTATGTTAAGTTTTGTCAAGCATGGCTAGGAAAATATATGAGTACTTCTAATTAAATATATATTTTTTGTTAAAATTTGACAATAATATGCCGATTGAAGTAAGTTTATAGATATGGGATGAGAATTACTAAAGAAGAATGATTCCTTTTTCACAAATAAGAAGTATGATGACTCAAAATCTAAGGCATGATGGCACTTGCACTATCCCATTGGTAGGTAAGCCAACCCTCCGCCGAAATTAACATCAAACAATCATAAAGAAATAATAATATTAGAAAAATCGAGTCTAAAAACTCAAAGTTTTCATAGATATAATAGAAGTGTGAAGGTAAGAAATAGACCCAAAATTTAGGTAAAAAAGATAGAAGAAGATAGATTTTCTCCAAATGCACCCTAACTCTTATATACATAACCTCAGATAAATGAAATCCATGCGGTTTGATAGGCCTAGGCAATGCATAAAAAATAAAACACAAGTAGTATAAGTACAATAACACGTATACTTAGTTAGCTGGTGTAATGAGTTGTTTTATTTTCTTCATATTTAGTAATGTTTATTCATTATGATTTTCTATGGTCATGTGTGCATTAGGTGGTCGGGACAAAGAAGAAAGAGGAGAAGGAGGAGGAGGAGGAGAAGGAGTAGCAGAAAAAAAAGGAGGAGGAGAAGTAGAAATATTAGAAGGAGAAAGAGAAGCAGAATTGTAAGGAGAAGAAGCAGAAGGAGGAGAAGGAGCCAAAGAAGAAGGTGAACATAAATAAGAAGAATGAGGAGAAGAAAGAGAAGGGTAAGGGCGAGGAGAACAAGTAGAAGTAGTGGTCTAATGGTGGTGTTGAAATAAGTTGTCACGCCTTGAGCCTACACCTGGGCGGGACCGACACTCGAGAACAATTGTTGGCCCCAAGTGAATCCTTGAATTGGCTTACTTACTTAGAGAAATACTTAAATCATTACAAATAAAATTGAAATGCTAAATAACTCCATTATCTGGAATTGAAACAAAAATATTTTAAAAATAAATGTTTAACTTAGCCAAAATGGCAACTCAAATTTGAACATAAGTCAATAACAAAATGATGATGAATGAACTAACATCTGAATGAATATTTATGAAGCCTCTATAACTGAGATGGATGTTGGGACAGACCCCACAACATCCTAATGAACTAAACTAATACTGAAAGCAATAAAAATGGCTCACCAACAGACTGTGAACTGCTCATTGGATCAACGGTACGCTGGATTGCTATCCTAATTACCTGCGTTTGCATCATAATACGATGTAGGCCAGCTGGCATCAGTACATTGAATGTATGAGTATGCAAGTTTGAATGTTAATACAACATAAACTAGAAAGATATTATCAAAGAAACACTTACCTTGACTCATCTAAACTCATGAATACTTACTAAACTTATTTCATTATAAATCAGGTTTAAAAAAGTGCAACATAAATAAAAGATATGTTTAAAAACACTATATAAACGCTTTGTTTATGCAAAGATATAAGAAACTCTAAGATGTATGTAAAATACAATGAAACAATGTATATAAAAATAAAATAACTGCTAAGGGAGTTTCTTTAACAAACAACTATCAAATAAGAGCTATAGTGATGATATAGTGATCTACCTCACACTGCCAGCGTATCCTATACTCGATCAAAGGTATAAGACCTGAACTGCCTAATGGATCCACTATTTTACTACGAAAATGGTTCATCTAAAAAGTATGACTCTTTTCTACCCATGATGTCTACATAGTTTATGGGGGATGTGAGTTATCCAAACTCTCTCCCATATTAATGCTCAATACTACTCCCAAAATATATTGGCTTTTATGTTTTAAAAACTTCGGTGGTTTGAGATTTCTAACACTCCAAAAGTTCCATGAACTAACTAAAGCCTCGCATGATGAACCAAGACATGAAACACGGTTTCTAGGCCTAAAATAATGTAATGAATCTAATTAGGAAGTGTTAGAGTCAAAACGTTAAGAAATGACCATGACGTCCGGAGACTAGAAAAATTAAGGCTAGTGTACCTTGACATGTTTCGTGAGGTTTCAAGAGTCGGAATTTAATGGAATTTGATAAAAGGTTATTAAACATGTATCAGAGTGATTTTAGGATCAAAAAGTACGAGTACGACTCCCCAAGAACCACCCTAAGGGTCCTTGGAGAGAACCCTACATTTAGACCCAAAAATGTCAAATTGACAGTAGCCAAACGACGAGCCAATCAACGAGCCGTTGATGGGTCAACAACCCGTCGATGGTGGTCTTTGACCAAGACATTTATTTCAAAAAGGGGGATAAAACCACAATCTTTGACCAAAACCACGGACCAGCAGGACGGTCTGTGGTACGTCTATGAGGCGTCGACGGGGTTCCGTCATTGGAACCTTATTGAACTGCTAAGATTCTATTTAAGTTGGGGTAATTAGTTAGTTCTTTAAGTAATTAATTAGGGGATTAGGTATTGTTAATTAAGTTATTTTAAGGACAACAAAAAGATTTCCAACTCATTAACTAACCTGACACCCCATTATTTCCTCAAACCCACTTAGCTCTAACTTCTCTCTACTTTCTCTCTCCCCAAACTTCAACCTCCATTGAAGAACACTAAAACTACAAGATTAGGACGAATTCACCAAGGATTTCATCTTACATTTGTGGCAAGATCATCACTAATGTATGGTTTCTTTCACTCTTGGGATCCTTTCCCCAAGAGGCTCCTTCAACTATGGTTTCCAAACCTTCCAAGACTAGGTTTTCAATCTAGACATGGGATCTTCTTTCAAAACGAAATGTTCATTCAATTATGATGATTTATGTTATTTTATCATTGTTTAACTAAGTATTGATGGTCAATTGTTGGTAAACACTAGCGATTTCCCCTTAAACCTTGTTCTTTCCTAAAACCATTATGTCTTTAATTTCTATGTTAATTATGGAAGATGATGAGTATATGATTATGTAGAATGCTAATTGATATGTATTCCTTCTTGATTTTACTTTTTTTTATGTGTTGGTTGTGTATTCTTTGGTAATTGAAGTGTGAAGTCAATGAAAGGGCAAGAAGGTATGAAGACTGATTCTTCTTGAATCCAATTATGAACCTTAACTCTAAAGGGCGTGAATGTGTAGATCAAGGAAGAAGGGTGGGATAACACCCGATTGATTGAGCGTCTTACATATATGAGTTTTTTAGATACTAATACTCTTCTATCTAATGTGTAGTTGTGATATTGATGACAATTATGCCTCATCCTTAAACTATACAATTGAATTATCCATGAAGTATGTGTTCATGTTATGATATGATTATTATATAATTGAAAGTAGTTTCGCATGATTATAATAAAGTGTTAAGTGATAGGTTTACTCATTTGATTAGTGGTTTCCAATGTGAAAGGATTGTTCATACTCGTGATGACTTATGAGCCATTATGTTAAAGGGTTTATATAAGAGTCTAGAAGAGACTAATGTGAACTTGTATAATGAACTAAGATGGTTACTAAAGGGAATAAAGGTTTAGCACCGAAAGGGAATGTAAATGAGATAGAGGTCTCCCAATATATGTGTTGTCTCATGAGATGGAAACCTCCACGTCTAGCAAGTCAAGGTTTCTAGTAGTCATATCCTTGACCCTTAATTATGTGCCTACATATCACTATAGCTTAGTGCATCCACTTAGATAGCTATGTATGATTGGTTACACCTTAGGCAAGTGTTAACCCTCTCTTTTCGGTGTGGGAGGAGAACACCGGATTTCATGTAGCTCACGTGGTCTAATGTCGGTTATGGTACTTATTTTCCCTAAAGTAAAAGTAAATGAACAAGTTAAGTATGTTAACTATTATTAGGGTTTTCTTAAAGGTTACCACATAGTGTGAGGGAGGGTACGTGACTTCTCTTATACATTGCATATGTGGGATCCGACGGGATGATCATAGTAGTGTTCTTGTATGATTAATTTGATTATATGCTATGTGTGTCAAGCCATATATGATATTATGAACTAAGCATGTTATGATGAAATACTAAGTAATGATGTATGCATGAAGTAGGTGGGTCAATGTAATACTTAACTTTGGATAGGGTTAGAGGGTTTCATTCTTGGCAATGCACTAGAATTGCTTGAGTTGCCTATATGTTGGGTTGACTTATGATGTTCCATATAAGTGCATGTTGAGTTATTTGACACTAAGCATGATTTTTGACTAAATTGTGTCTTTTATCATGCATTTATGATTTTATGCATAGGAACCATGCTTAGTACATGTGGTTTATACTAACCCATATTTCTTCCTTTTTCCCAACATTGTAGATTTCGGTCATTGAAGAGCCTCTAGACCAATTTGCAAGAATACTTGGACCTTTCCCTCAAGTTATTGGTAGGTCTTCAAGTTCGAGGATGTTGCCATTATTTTACTCTAGCTATGATGTTGATTGTGTCAAAATACTATTATTCTTTCCTTTATCATTTGAGAGTATCGTTGTAAGCCTATAATGGCAAGTTGTACTTGTGTATGGGGTTATGCTCAACTTTGTAATACTCTTTAGATGGTTTAATGTGAGACAATACTATAAGACTATTTCCTATGTATTGGTTATCTTGCCTAAACGAGGAGGCTATGTAAGCTTCCATAAGCGAAGAGTCTATGTAAACTCCATATATGATACGTGAGAGGTCTATGTATACCTCACTATGTAAAAGTTTTAAATTTTTCTACATTTTTTACCTATGATATGTTATGACGAGTGCTAAGGGCTTTTCAAGTCCTCTTCGAATACGAAGACGCCGATTACGACAAGGGGGTGTTTTCCAGTCGTGACAAGATTAGTAAGGGTATGCACTATTTGGATTAAACCGAAAAATCAAACCAAATTCTAATATGGATTGGTTTTTTCGATTCTTGGTTTGAATTTGAATTTATAATTTATATTGTTTGATTTTTTAGTTTGGTTTCTAATATAGAAAAATGAATCACTTGTGTGAGTTTTTAGAAGTCTCATTTATTATTTTGTGACGTTTTATTTTGACCTGACAATATAAAACTCTTTGTGGTGATTTTATTAAGGATGTTAGAAAATCGTGACAGTTTAATATTGTTTGTGGCGACTATCGACCCCAACAAAATTATTATATATTTAAAAAGGAAGACTTTTACTTTGTAGATGAAATTTCACTTCAACATTTTATCTTATATAGTACTCCCTCCTTCTCATTTTATGTGAGATAGTTTGACTAAGCACGTAGTTTAAACAAAAGGAAGACTTTTAAAATTTGTGGTCCAAAATGAATGATATAAATTTTGCGTGGCTGTAAATCATTTCATTGAGAGTAAATTGACATTTCGTAGTTAAATTTTTGTTTAATATAGAAATGTGTCGTTCTTTTTTGAACAAACTAAAAGAAAAATAAGTTACATAAATTGAGACAGGAGGAGTAATACTTTAATTTTTATTATTTAGTGATTTTGGCTATCTCATAATATAACTATATAACTATATATATATATATATATATATATATATATATATATATATATATATATATATATATATATATAGTCATATGCAATATGCATTTATATTTATTTTGTTTGTATTTTAAATTTATTTAAGCTTTTACGGTAATAGTTGAATTTTTTAGGTGAATCATTTTAATTATTAGTTATTGCAAATTAATAAAAATTTAAAATAAAGCTTGTTTTATGCACTAACAAAAAATCATTTATCTTTTATTTGGACCCAACTCAACCAAATTTTAATGCCTCTCCTTTCAAAATATTTAAAAAGCCAAATGAATATAATTAATTCCCCCTATAACCTTTCAAATCCAATGAAATATGTAGTAACCACCCCTCCTTCCCAAATCCCACCCCTCTCCTTTTTCCCTTTGCCTCTCACTCTTCTTTACTTTATTTATCATTTTTTTATGTGCGTGAATTGATAATTATTTGGAATATAAAGGTAATTTTCTGTTAGGTAAGTTTGATGATTCATATTAGAATTTAAACTTTATATTATTATTTAGTTTATAGGTATTTTGTATTTTTCAAGTTCTAAAACTTTATATATAATATGTTAACATATTGCATGATTTGTTCAAATTCTCACCACGTTGTAAAGTCATATGTATCTAATCTTTGATTGATTTATGGTAAGCCTCAATTTTGTATTTGTTTAGTTAAGGATTGTGTACTCGTCTTATTCTTGATTGGATTTGACTATAACCAATTAAAATACGATTTTCTTTATTAGATTGTGATCTACATCAATACAACTTACTCAATACGATAAATTATTGAAGTTAAAATTATTTTTTTGCTAGATGAAATAAAAAAAATAAGGTCAAAGAAGAAAGTCTAAATTAAAAATTATCAAAAAGGTGAAATATTTGAACCAACATGTTAAATAGAATGAGCATCTTTTTATGATTTTGAAAAATAAGAATTTAGTTTGTGCTTATCTAGGAATAATCATGAAGTTGTTGTTATTCACATTATTAGGGTGTATGAGAGAGCATCAAGTACATAATCTTATGATTTGTTGTCAGATCAAAGCTCCATATTTTTTTTTTTGAAATGAATTAATTTTTTACCATCAAGATGTATGAATATATATATGTATCAATATATGTTTTGTAATTATGTATGATATTTTCATTGTTTCAACCTGATGAGGAGATTGAACTTATTTTACTTTGAACAAAAAGATTAGATGACAACAACTTAAATCACCAAACAAATGCAAGCTATCGAATTTAATTTTTTTGTATTTATTTTGATGTGGATTTAAATGGATTTAAAATTGAATGTGAAGTTATTATACAAAAATTGGTGTTATTTTTATTTGACAAAATTTGAGTTTGCGAAGCTTATTATTACGAATATGTTAATGTAGTTTGATATTCTTTAGATGTGATATTTGGTAAAAAAAAAATCATTATTTTGAAGGCTTGATGAAAATCATATTCCACATTTATTATTATTGAAATAATAATAATAATAATAATAATAATAATAATAATAGTAATAATAATAATAATTGTAATACTCCATAAATCAAATTATTATATTAAATACATATCATGACTATTTAAAATCCACACAAATTTAATTTTTAAAATATTAAAATTATATTTTGAAGGTTTAAGATGTCATAAACTTATACTAAAAAACCTCCATAAATTTAAAAGTCAATTTCTGGGAAGCGCCGTGGAGGCTTACTAAAACCATTGCAAATATGGTTGTGACAAGGATAATTGGTAGCAATTTTAGAAATCGCTACATTTTAATTAGTGAAATCCCTAAATCGGCATAAAATGAAAAAATAACCTCCATAAATTGAGCATTTTTTGTAGTGATTGTCAATTACTATTATTAACAAAAATGGTTAGTTGGCACAACAAGAATACTAGGTATAACCATAAAATATCATTAGCGTAAAAGTACCCTTTTGAGTCGATCCTCAAATAATGCCCCAAGTCTTTTCTCCACTTTATCAATTGACTTTAAACATAAAATATCACTCAAAATTGAAGAAATCCTCCGTGGGAATTCATGCCCCTTCATATCGCGTCACTGTTAATCCTTATCTTTTTCCAATCACCATTCCTTCACCATAAAAAAAAATTGAAATCCAATTAATTCATTTATTCCAAAGGCTAAGAAAAATAGGTAAAATCTAGAATAATTATGAGATATAATTACTTATAAGCTGCAAAATTAAGTTATACAAATTATATATCCATTATTCATCAGGTATGCAATGATTATATATTATATACAAGATTTGTAATTTTTTGAAGTTTATAAAATTTGAGGGTTTTCTTTAATGGAATTGAATAGGATAAAATATATACGGTAGAGATTCCTAAATGTTACCACACATGAAGTATCTTTTGTATCAAATAACATAGGTTTCTAAATTTAAGATGAATAAAATATGTACAGCTAAAAATAAAGATTTAACTTAGTCAAAAATTTTGCTAAAATAACTTATTAATCGAACAATGTTAGTTCATTTTTCCAACAAAATAAAATATCATTCATAAATGATTGAAATAAAAAGTACAATAACATGAAATGGAAAGACAAATGCAACAAATATGACACACACTATGAAAAGGAACACGAAGAAACAATGATAGAACATTATAATTATTACATTCTCAATCGAGGTCCTTGGAATGTCCATCATCTTCAACATTGACGCCATTGCCTTCTTTTGGTGAAAACTCTATATCACTTCCATCCCCTAACGTAGCTATAGTCTGAATAAACCACGGGCCATTGAATGATTCTTCCATTGGACTTCCTGATAAAGTAATGTTTTCTTTGTTTGATGGAGGATTTGGAGTCTGGTTAAGTTCTTTCTTTCTTTCATCTAGTTTAGCCATTTTTGCAGCAAACACCTTTAACAAGCCTTTCATTTCTCTAGCATCAAGTTCATTAATACTTTTTCCCTCCACTAGTTGGTTGAAGAGGATTTCCATTTCCTTCGCCTCATTCATTTTCTCTAATTTGCTAATTTGTTCTTCTTTCTTATCAATTTTCTTTTGAAGATAGTCTTCATGTGTGACCAACTTATTAAGTCTTTTGAACTCAATGAAACCTAAATACCTTGTCAAGACATCCTGAGCCAGACTTGCGGATTTCCAAGTGATGGGTTGGATTTTTCCTGGCCTAAAAATAACTATGGCAACTTCCACATCACACAAAATAGAAAGCTCTTCTGCTTTCTTGAACAAACTTTTTTCTCTTCTATCTAAGATGGAATTTCTCACATTTTCACTGTAGTTCCTAGTATTTCTAAGCCTTTTTATAGCCATATTTGATACTCAAAACAAAAAAAAAATATTTTCTTTAGAAATAGAATATATAAAACTTGAAGAGATATGTGACTTTTATAGTTGTCAAACAAAAATTGTCAATGTAGTCAAAATAAAGAACTTTCATAATTTAGGTTCCAAATTTTAAATAATTTGGTTAGTATAATCTGATTTTTAGGAAACTATTATGTTTTTTCCTTAAATAGATGAAAATTGATAATATTCAAAATTGAAATTTGACAGGTCATATTTCATGATTATTTTTGGAGGTAGAAAACACAATAATTTACTTTTTACATGGGCATATTTTGTAGAAAATGTTTATAGAAAATATATTTTACAAAAGACGTTAGCATTTCCTTAGAAAAAAATTGCATCATATTTCAATATTTTTGATAGATAAAAAAGTTTCTGAGAAGTTTACTTCAAGCATGGCGTAGGAAAATATATGAGTACTTCTAATTAATTATATTATTTTTTCGTTAAAGATTGACAATAATATACCGATTGGAGTAAGTTTTTAGATATGTAATAAAATTACTAAAGAAGAATGATTCTACAAATAAGAAGTGTGATGACTCAAAATCTAAGGCATGATAACACTTCCACCAATTAGTAGGTAAGCCAACCCACCACCGAAATTAATATCAAACAATCATACAAAAATAATAACATTAGAAAAATGAAGTCTAATAGCTCAAAACTTTCATAGATATAATAGAAGTGTGAAGGTAAAAAATACACCCAAAATATAGTGGTATTAGTAGTTCAAGAGCATCAAACTAAATACATATACATAAAGATAAAAGACTATCTGAAGTCGTAAATAAATAAATAAACAAGATATAAGAAGATAGATTTTCTTCAAATAATAGATATATCACCATAACTTTTTATATACATAACCTCAGATAAATGATTTTCAGGGGGTTTGATATGCCTAGGCAATGCGTAAAAATTAAAACAAGAGTAGTATAAGTACAATAACACGTGTACTTAGTTGGCTGGGGTGATGAGTTGTTTTATTATCTTCATATTTAGTAATGTTTATTCAGCATGATTTTCTATGGTTGCAGATGATGTAGGTGGTAGGGACAAACAAGATATAAGAAGAAGATGAAGGAGGAAAAGGAGTAGAAGAAAAGAAGGAGGAAGAGAAGTAGCAAAGTAGAAGGATAAAGAGAACCAAAAGTATAAGGAGAAGAAGCAGGAGGAGGAGGAGGAGAAGAAGGGGGAGGAGAATGAGAAGGAGAAACAGAAAGGAAAAGGGAAAGATAAGGATAAAGAGAAGAAGTAGAAGTAGTATTCTAATGTTGGTGTTGGATTAAGTAATATTGCAAAGTTTGTGTATAAGTACTTGTGTCAGAGCACTTGAGTTTAGGTCATTTGACTCAAAGGTTATCCATTCCAGAGTGAAGGTAGGAGTGGATAGATATGATTTTCATGGTAATATTTTCATAAAATTTTTCTACATTTAATGTTATTTGGGACATCATTGATAGGTTAATCAGGTCTTCTCACTTTCTATCAGTTTACATTTTATACTCTTCTAAGAGGTTTGCATTCGTGAGATTGTATAAATCTACAAAGGGTGTCAACGTCTATCATTTCAGATCATGGAACTTAATTCGTATCATATATGTTTCGAGGTTGACTCAGAGAGAATCGGTACCTATGTTGATCTTAGCACAACATTTCATCTGCAGACTACAGGCAGGCAGTCCAAAAAAGGACTATTTAGGTTAAGGAAAAATATGGTATGGGCTTGTGTAATTTATTTTTCGAGGTATGTGGGACTAGTTTTTGCTTTGGTAGAGTTTGCACATAATAATAGCTAATGTTTAAGTATTCAAATGTCTCTATTTGAGGCATTATACAGTAGGAGTTCAGTCTTTGATGTGCTAGTTTAATGCTTTTGAATTATGCCCTTAGATCACTAACTTATGGATAAAGTTTGGGTGATTTAGGAGAGGCTCGTACTGCTTAGAGTAGGCACAAGAGTTATGTCGATTAGAGAGTGAGCGCCTTAGAGTTCAGGTAAGAGATTAGTGTTTATGTTGGTGTCAATCATGAAAGGCATGATGAGATTTGATTGAAAGGGCGAGCTCGACCCTAAGTTCATCAAACCTTTTTATATGTTATGAAGGTGGCTTATTAAGAGTTAGACTTACCTTCAGCCTTTTGGGTTATTGACCTTATCTTATGTATTTGTGTTGGACAATATGTTTAGATAAGTCTCACATGCTTAAGTGGAATTTTGTTCTGTACGATGAGTCCTTGATTTTCGAGGAGGGCTATAGTTATTCTAGACAAGCAGTCTAAGAGGTTAAGGTCTAAGGACATTCTGTAATTTGATGTTTAGTGGAGGCATCATCCCACGAGAGGCTACTTGATAAGCCAATCTTGATATGCAGACAAAATATCCTTGCCTTTTTAACCTTGGGGTACTTTATATTATATATATATATATATATATATATATAGTCATATGCATTTATATTTATTTTGTTTGAATTTTAAATTTATTTAAGCTTTTACGGTTATAGTTGAATTTTTTAGGTGAATCATTTTACTTATTAGTTATTGCAAATTAATAAACATTTAAAATAAAGCTTGTTTTATGCTTTAACAAAAAATCATTTATCTTTTATTTGGACCCAACTCAACCAAATTTTAATGCCTCTCCTTTCAAAATATTTAAAAAGCCAAAAGAATATAATTAATTCGCCCTATAACCTTTCAAATCCAATAAAATATGTAATAACCACCCATCCTTCCCAAATCCCACCCCTCCCCTTTTTCCCTTTGCCTCTCACTCTTCTTTACTTTATTTTTCTTTCTTTTTTTTTATTTGCGTGAATTGATAATTATTTGGAATATAAAGGTAATTTTCTGTTAGGTGAGTTTGATGATTCATATTAGAATTTAAAATTTATATTATTATTTAGTTTATAGGTATTTTGTATTTTGCAAGTTCTAAAACTTTATATATAATAGGTTTACATATTGCATGATTTGTTCAAATTCTCACCACGTTGTAAAGTCATATGTATCTAATCTTTGATTGATTTATGGTAAGCCTCAATTTTGTTTTTGTTTAGTTAAGGATTGTGTACTCGTCTTATTCTTGATTGGATTTGACTATAACCAATTAAAATACGATTTTCTTTATTAGATTGTGATCTACATCAATACAACTTACTCAATACGATAAATTATTGATGTTAAAATTATTTTTTTGCTAGATAAAATAAAAAAAATAAGGTCAAGGAAGAAGGTCTAATTTAAAAATTATCAAAAATGTGAAATATTTGAACCAACATGTTAAATAGAATGAGCATCTTTATATGATTTTGAAAAATAAGAATTTAGTTTGTGCTTATCTAGGAATAATCATGAAGTTGTTGTTATTCACATTATTAGGGTGCATGAGAGAGCATCAAGTAAATAATCTTATGATTTGGTGTCAGATCAAATCTCTATATTTTTTATTTTTTGAAATGAATTAATTTTTTTATCATCAAGATGTATGAATATATATATGTATCAATATATGTTTATGTAATTATGTACGATATTTTCATTGTTTCAACTTGATGAAGAGATTGAACGTATTTTACTTTGAACAAAAAGATTAGATGACAACAGCTTAAATCACCAAACAAATGCAAGCTATCGAATTTATTTTTTTTGTATTTATTTTGATGTGGATTTAAATGGATTTAAAATTGAATGTGAAGTTATTATACAAAAATTGAGTTTGTGAAGCTTATTATTACGAATATGTTAATGTAGTTTGATATTCTTTAGATGTGATATTTGGTTTAAAAAAATCATTATTTTGAAGGCTTAATGAAAATCATATTTCACATTTATTATTGAAATAATAATAATAATAATAATAATAATAATAATAATAATACTCTATAAATCAAATTATATATTAAATACATATCATGAATATTTAAAATCCACACAAATTTAATTTTTAAAATATTAAAATTATATTTTGAAGGTTTAAGATGTCATAAACTTATACTAAAAAACCTCCATAAATTTAAAACTCAATTTATGGGAAGCATCGTGGAGGCTTACTAAAACCATTGCAAATATGCTTGTGACAAGGATAATTGGTATCAGTTTTAGAAATTGCTACATTTTAATTAGTGAAATCCCTAAATCGACATAAAATGACAAAATAACACCCATAAATTGAGCATTTTTTGTAGTGATTGTCAATTACTATTATTAACAAAAATGGTTGATTGGCACAACAAGCATACTAGGTATAACCATAAAATATCATTAGCCTAAAAGTACCCTTTTGAGTCGATCCTCAAATAATGTCCCAAGTCTTTTCTCCACTTTATCAATTGACTTTAAACATAAAATATCACTCAAAATTGAAGAAATCCTCCATGGAAATTCCTGCCCCTTCATATCGCGTCACTGTTAATCCTTATCTTTTTCCAATCACCATTCCTTCACCATAAAAAAAAATTGAAATCCAATTAATTCATTTATTCCAAAGGCTAAGAAAAATAGGTAAAATCTAGAATAATTATGAGATATAATTACTTATAAGCTGCAAAATTAAGTTATACAAATTATATATCCATTATTCATCAGGTATGCAATGATTATATATTATATACAAGATTTGTAATTTTTTGAAGTTTATAAAATTTGAGGGTTTTCTTTAATGGAATTGAATAGGATAAAATATATACGGTAGAGATTCCTAAATGTTACCACACATGAAGTATCTTTTGTATCAAATAACATAGGTTTCTAAATTTAAGATGAATAAAATATGTACAGCTAAAAATAAAGATTTAACTTAGTCAAAAATTTTGCTAAAATAACTTATTAATCGAACAATGCTAGTTCATTTTTCCAACAAAATAAAATATCATTCATAAATGATTGAAATAAAAAGTACAATAACATGAAATGGAAAGACAAATGCAACAAATATGACACACACTATGAAAAGGAAC